CGCCTATTGGTGGGGAGCAGCACCTGCTGGAAAACAGGTCCTGCGTCCCATGTACAAACTGGGCTTGATGATCATCAGGAGAAACACAATTGAGGATGCTTCCTGCCAGCATTGATTGCCCTGGAGACCAGGGGATTGACTGAGCAGGGTGTCGGGGAACCTCTTCACCTTGTACGCGGCGCCAGATGCCTGCTGCAATACACTAGCTCCCCTACCCCCACCTGCTCCCATTATCCAAGATGGGTTTCTCACTGTCCTTAAACTCAGTTATCCTCCATACCACCACATGTCTACCAGACAGTTTGAGGGGGGTCGGAAAAAAGTCAGGGAATTCATCCGGGGGTTGTAGGGGGATAGCCGCATCAACTTTGGTCCATTCATAAAATATCAGTCTGTAGTCTCTTACTATCTCCGTTCTCCCCTCGTCCACCCCTAATTCCTGGTCCACCCCTGATTGTAGATGTTCCCCTTTCCATTCTACCTTCCCCATCCTCCCCCCATCAGGTCCCCCGAGCCAACTCAAGCTGAATTCCTTAATTTTTAGTTAGATGTCTTTTTGCCTGTCCAGGAGTCTGATCCGTGTTTTGACCCCCTCCCATTGCGCAATTATTTCTGTTTGAATTTGTTGTTGTATACTGTCCGTGAACTTCGACCCTTCTAATCTGGCTCCCTCTAATTCAAATGTGCAGCGGCGCCTCCAAAGCGCCCAGAGTACCGCCCTTCGTCCCATTTTGAACATTGTGTCAGTGAATTCATCGAGTTGGTCAGCGTGGGCTTTGGGCCAGATTTCAAACAATATCGCCTTCCAGTCCCAGGACCACAGGGCTGTTGTTTCTAGTTGCTCCCAAATTTTGTCCCACCACCTCCACAGCCAGAGTGCACCCGGGCATTGCAAAAAGATGTGTTCAATTGTCTCCGGTCGTTTTTTAGATGGGAACGAGTTAATGCACAACTTGCACCAAGGAAGAGCGCATCCCCTCTATTACAAGGATGTTCTGTCTATCAGCCAGTTATTGGTCAGTAGGCAGCGGTGTTCAAGCTGCCATTGGAGCGAGGCGATTTTGGCCGGTCTCGCTTTGGCCATCTTGAACCACTTAATCGGTCTTAGTTCTTCCTTGCCGACGTTTAGGTGGTTCCTCCAACGTTCCTCCACTTGATCTTGAAGGTTTATTGTCGGTCTTAGCAGCCTGTAAGTCGACTTGACTATTAGACCGTATAATGTCTTAGTGCGTTTCCTTCCTTTCCGCATACAGTTTGTCCATGTCCATTCCAGCGGGTCCAAGCCAAATAATGGATCGGGGAGCAAGGTTGGACGACTATGTATTGTTCATTTTCCTCGAGTACTCTGATCCTGAACAGCCCTTCTTTTTGGCATTCAATGGTTTCTTCCGGTTTGCTCTTTTGGATTATGTTGTCCCGTCCTACTTGGAAAATATTTACTTCCACTGTACCTTCCGGGGAGCAGCAGGCCACCCTGCCTACTTCTCCTTGTCGCCCTCTCACCGCCACCCAGTCTGACTTTTGTAGGGTAGGGCCTTTGTGAAGGATTCTCCACCATTCTAGGGGGATCCTTTCCACGATCGCCTCCAGGGCTTCCTGTGACCGGTGGCAGTACCTCAGTCTCTCCCGTAGCTGGTCGGGACCTATCCAGTCCTTTTTCTCTGTATCCCATATGTCCTTCACCCTCGTTATCCCTCGCTTGATCCATCCTTTATAGCTTTAAGATTAAAACAAACAAACAAACAAACGAACTATATCTGGCCTGAGATTTACTACGGTATTCAAAGGCCCTGCGTTCCTAGACAGTAGTATTTCGATGACGTGTGGGAACTGATCATTAGAGCGGCATTGCCAGGAAGGATGTGGTGAAGGACAGATCAGGTGCTCCGCAGTGACAGAAGGTTATTGGAAAAAACAGAAACAGTTATGCGAAGTGAAATCAGTAGGGAGGGTAGAGCGAGATCGCCCTGTCTGGCTCCCCACGAATACATTGGAGCATTGTTTCAAAAAAAGAGGTGAGTGGGAGAAGTAGATGGTGGGATATCAAGCGTCCTACTAGTGAGGGGGCTAGCTCGTAGGATGGAAATAGGGTACAGCAGCAGCAGAGATGGTGACTCTGCTGCAGTAAGTCTTGCCAGAGTGAGGTAAAGAGGATTGATGGGGGGTTTCTGAGTCGTTTTCTGAATTTTGCCTATTTCTGAAGTTCGTCATAGTAATTGTCTAAGTAGCTCAAATTTTTCTTAGCCAAAGTCAGGTTATGGCCCCGGTATCTCAAACTTTCAAACTTTCAAATTTCTATGTAAATTTCCATATGGGACGCTGGGCCCGGTTCCCAGCACGTGCTGCTCCCCACGAATAGATTGGAGCCTTGTTCGCATTAAAATAATAATAATAGTAATTAAAAAAAAAAAACTCTTTTGCACTACCTTCTTCCCCACGAATAGATTGGAGCCTTGTTCGCATTAAAATAATAATAATAATAATTAAAAAAAAAAAATCTCTTTTGCACTACCTTCTTCCCCCAAACACAATGCACCCTCATTTTGACTGTATCGGGACGGAAACATATTGTATACGTTCATTTTCAGGGTGCGTTACGTTCGGGGGAAGACGGTATGGTATTCACAAGAAGGATGCTGAACCAAGGGGCCTAACTCAGTCGGTACACTTCACAAACTGTTGAAATATGAATCAGACCCAAGTTCGAATCCAGATACAATTAGATGACCAGAATAAAATCGTTCTGAATTACCTCGGGCCGGTCAGTTGAATGATGATCTCTCAAGGCCATCACCGTTTTACAAGGCGGGGGGGGGGAAAGAAGGGGTTAACTAGGGCGCAGTCAGGTTTTTAGTTTTAAATGGAGTTCAGGCATCCCCCGAATACAACACATCCCCAGCCAACCCTAAAGCTGGGTTGTATACATTCACCATTGTCCTCGCTTTGGAGCAAACACATGCAATGACTTGCTGGTTCCAGGCTGCCTGTAGCCTATCTCTGACGAGGCTGTACTCTAGGTAGGGACAGATTCGTAATTTTGTTTGGCTGAGGAC